GAAGGACAACTCCACGTGATCTCGATGATCACAGTCTATCGTAAAAACAGAGTGTCCTCCGCTTCGCTCCGGACAATCAATATCTTATGTTACACAAAGAAATTAGTATAATCAATTCTTTTTCAATTATTAATTATCACTAATTGTAAATCACATTTGTCAATCATATTATCATCCGTTCTCAAAAATGGTCTAATTAATGACGCCATAATATCTCAATCACTAGCTAATCATATCTTGAGAACACCCTTAGTCGGCTAAGTTGAATTTATCGGTTAATGCAAAATCGATTACAATCACTAGTTTTTTGGTATTATTGCAACGTACAATAATGCCAAACCAACTTTATTCGATATATAGTAGAAAGTAAAATTTGAATCGATAGTACTAAATCACGCCACTGGTATTCAACATCGTATATATTTTTAATAGTTTTTGTTAGTAAAATTTAGGGTTAGGATGTTGTTATAGTATAAAGTAAGAATAAGGGTTACCTGTCGAAATGAAATTATCAATTTGTTTTCAGATCTCAATGCAAAATAATAACAGAATTGATTTTAAAAATACAGGTTATCAAAAATGGCACCTCAGCGCTCGTTACACGATCAGAAAAGTTTATGTAACACACTCCGACAAAACTTTTTGATACTGCATTTTTTTGATGGACTTTTAATGCCTCGAATTTTAATTTTTTTGGAGTTATATGATTTTTGATTTTCGGGATTTCGGTTTCACGCTTTGGCACGATGAATTTACCGAAAGTATTTCGGCACGCCAAAATACTTTCGGTAGGAAACCTTAAGCCTGTACTTAAGCAACCTCCTATATTGCTTCTGATTCAACCATTACATAACGAAATACACCTCCGAAGTACGTTCAACTGGAATAAACAACCATTTTCAACTTACTCCCAAGCTTTTTACGGTTTAAAATCAAAATCTTGCACAGAAAATCATAATTTAGATTTGTCAGAAGGTTCCGATAGTGGATCAAAAAATAACGGTCAACAGGGAGAAGGTGGTGACAGTGGTGGTAATCAAAATAATTCAAGCAATAGTAACAACGCAGATAATCCTGGCAATGGAAATAAAGGTGATGGATCAGGAAAAGGTGGCGATGGGTCAGGGGACAATAATTCTCCTCGATCCCCATTTGAGAATATCCATAGAACTTTGCATATTCTGGAAACAACTTTACAAAGGCCTTCTATACCAGAGGTATATCCACAAGTTTTGGCTCTTCCTATTGCTCGGCGACCTCTTTTCCCCGGATTTTACAAAGCTGTTGTGATTAAAGATCCGCATGTCACAGCCGCTGTAAAGGAATTAATGAAACGTGGACAACCTTATGTTGGTGCATTTCTACTTAAAGATGAAGAATTAGATGTAGATACTATCACAGATATTGCACAAGTGTATAAAGTTGGTGTATTTTCCCAAATTACGAGTGTTTTTCCAGCTAACGGTGGTCATGATGAAAATTCATTGACCGCTGTCTTATATCCTCATCGACGTATTCGCATCAATGAACTTTTACCACCCTTACCAGCCAATGCTTCTGAAGCTGAAATAATTTCCCAGCCAGTACAGCAAGCTTCTGAAACGAGCACTAATAAAGGTTTGTTTGTCATGATAAAGTTCTCTTCATTGGAATTTACAATTCATTAATCCAATCATTTTGAATTAATTGGTAGAGCCTGAACCACAATATGCTACATCTTTTCTTGAAGATTATAATGTCTCACTAGTAAACGTTGAAAATCTTAATGATGAGCAGTATAATAGAAAGAATCAAGTAATTCGAGCAATAACATCTGAAATTGTAGCAGTATTCAAAGATATAGCAACGTTGAACCCACTCTTCCGTGATCAAATTGCAAATTTTTCCATGTCACAGTCTGCTGGTAATGTTTTTGAAGAGCCTGCAAAACTTGCCGATTTTGCAGCTGCAGTTTCAACAGGAGAACCAAATGAATTACAAGAAGTCTTAGAAAGTTTAGTTATTGAAGAGCGTTTACAAAAAGCTTTACTTGTCCTAAAAAAAGAATTAGTTAATGCTCAATTACAAAGCAAAATTAGTAAAGAAGTTGAATCGAAAATTGCAAAGCGACAAAGAGAATATTATTTAATGGAACAATTAAAAGGAATAAAAAAAGAATTAGGGATTGAATCAGATGGCAAAGACAAACTCATTGAAAAGTTCAAAGAAAAGGCAGATAAACTCGCCATGCCTGACAATGTTAAGAAAGTTTTTGACGAGGTAAATTCAATTTGTTTTGCACAGAATTAATTGTGAACATTGATTGGTTATAAAATGTTCTGTTCATTCTCAGTCTTTCGTTCATTTCATTAGGAAATCAATAAACTTGCTCATTTAGAGCCCGCAGCTTCCGAATTCAATGTCACTCGTAACTATTTAGATTGGCTAACCCAAATTCCATGGGGCCAAAGTTCTCCGGAGAATTACAATATTAAGCATGCCATGAAAGTGCTTGATGATGATCATTATGGATTACAAGATGTAAAGGATCGGATATTAGAATTCATCGCCGTTGGTAAACTAAGAGGCACTGTTGAAGGAAAAATTTTGTGCTTCATTGGACCTCCCGGTATGTAACGTTATCATGACTTTCGCTCGCATGTCTAAAGTCATGTATTTGCTGCGAAATAGTAACGAGCAACTTATTAAAGGTGTTGGTAAAACTTCTATTGGAAAATCCATTGCTCGAGCTCTATCGCGGCAGTTTTATCGGTTTAGCGTCGGTGGTCTTACTGATGTTGCTGAAATCAAAGGACATCGTCGAACGTATGTTGGCGCTATGCCTGGTAAAGTTGTCCAAGCCTTAAAAAAGGTACAGACCGAAAATCCATTGATTTTAATTGATGAAGGTAATTGTTCTTTAGCAGACATCCACAATAATGTATTTATGTCAAATTCAAATTGAAATCATGCATTATTGATTGTAGTTGACAAAATTGGTCGTGGACATCAAGGCGATCCTTCTTCAGCGCTTTTGGAACTCCTCGATCCAGAGCAAAATTCATCCTTTTTGGATCATTACATGGATGTACCGATTAATCTTTCTAAAGTGCTCTTTGTTTGCACTGCTAATGTTGTAGATACGATACCTGTTCCATTGTTAGATCGTATGGAAATAATCCAGTTATCTGGATATGTTGCTGATGAAAAAGTTGCTATTGCTTCAAAATATCTTGTGCCAACTGCTAAAGAAATGGCTGGCTTACAAAATGCAGACGTTCAACTACAACAAGATGCCATTGAGACCTTAATTAAGTCTTACTGTCGTGAAAGCGGTGTTCGCAATTTAAAGAAACATATCGACAAAATTTATCGAAAAGCAGCTCTTAAAATAGTACGAGATATTGGCGATGAAGAATTAGCATCAGAAGAACTTGACCATATTGAAGCCGAAACTTCTGAGGAAACTAAAACTGATGATGTTCCTACCACCACTGAGCCGCGAAAACCTTTAA